TTCACACTCTAGTTTGGCTTCAAACTCTGGAGGTCCTGGCGCCATTAGCTCGCTACCTGGGTTCCAGAGGAATATCAGATATTTCTCATGTCGGAATCACAAAGAGTGATTCAACCGAACTGCAACCCTAAGTGGGTTGGATACGATGCGTAAACGGACTGATCTTATGCGAAATAAAACAAACCTACCGTCAAAAGTCATCCAAAGCCGAGAAGCAGAGTATTAGTAAACCTCATCACTCGGCCACAGAGAACAAAACACCTTCAGCTGAAAGCAGGGGCTGTGATAGCTGAATAAGGACGGGGATGTTGCCGCTTCATACTATCAGTTCTGCTGGCTGCCTTTCATAGTTTCGGCATTCTTTTCTTCCGGGGAAGCATGTCACGGGAAACCAATCTGATATCCATGGATGCCAAAGTGGAATTCATCAACACGGAGAATGATCGCCCTTGCGCGATAGCCGGCGATCTCTTCGCCCCACATGGCCCCGGGACCCAATGCATACAGCCGGCGATCCTTGTGGCTTATCGACTTTTGATTCGTTTAAACGACTCATTCTGGCCAGAAGAACAACGGAAACCGTATAGCTTGCAGCCACTAGCCTTGGCCCTGTGGCTGGGCTTCGTTTTCAGTGGGGCTGGAGGATTTATAAATAGAAACCGTTGCATGGGAAATTCGATATCTGCAGAAAGTGGGGTATCAATACTCCGTAGAGGGTGAGGGTTTGATACCCAGTGTATCAGTGGGTTACGCGGGTTACGCAGGTTGCAAGTATCAATCCATTGAGGAAGAGTAAAAGTTATGCGGATTGACCATTCGTGATTCATAAAAAGCTCAGCCACACTTATTTCATTCTTGTAACGAGGAAAATCATGGCGTTGGGGATGTAAAGAGAAAAAATAAGTAGAAAGACAAAATAAATACCCAAAAGAGTCAATGTGGCCCCGAGTCAGGTTCGGCTGCTCAAAAGCGAAATAGCAGAATCCTGTAAATACCCGAAAAGAATCGTAAGGGAGCAGCATATATGCTGTGCTCCGCCAGTAGCTGCTTAATTCATTCGAATTCTAGAAAAAGTAGAAAAAAATAAAACCAGCAGTAATTACCCGGACAATTCAACATTGAAGGCCGTAAACCAACCAGTTAACTCTGCCCTCACTCTGCGATTTTTCGTTAAAACCTAGGAAATATACCCAAAAAGGACAACCGGGATGGTATCGGAGGAACCAAAGAATTGAAAACGAGCCAAATAGAGCAGTGATTTTCTATCGTCGTCCGTAAAACTGAGAAATCGTGCCATGTGGATGGAGAATGCAACTAAGCGGAACGGTGGAGGGGGGGAAACGCAGGCATCAAACCTCAGATCTTAAGCTAAGATATATACCCCAGATCATCCCAAACAGGCTCCCTGTCAGGACTCTCTTCTCTGGGGAGATCATGGTGAAGTTAAGCACGGAAACCATTGGCCAAAGCTTCAGACCAGCCATGATGATTGGGACGAAATCCTAGCCAATATGTGTAGATTAGTTACGTTCTTGAAACCTCACACCACAAATGGGTCCAAATTCATGTCCGACGAAACCTTATCACGCAATTCACGCGTGGAAGGAAACTCCGGGAGCCTCTATGATATGAATTGATTTATAATTGTGCAGGAAATAAACACACCAAAGGTGATAGGGTTAGTTATGTCACCTACCTTATATAATGATTGTTGAATAGTTTTGACATCCTGGCCATTTAAGGCAGACATGGTTACAATAAATAAAGCTGAACTCCATGCTGCGCCAACAGTCTGGTCTATCACAATCTTAAGAACGGTATTCCGGGTATTCCTTTTGGAGTTGGAGCTTTGTGATTCTTCCCACTCCAGTTGATTGGTTTTGGCCCCGCACCATGCTGTCTCGTGGCTAGCCATGTTAGAGTCATTTTCACCTTTGCCTGCCATCGATGCGGGAGGCATAACGGCGTTGTGGTCAGGAGATACTGGATATGCGATTTCGAGATGGTTCTGCCAGAGGACCATGAAAGGCGTTGTGATAAGCGTGCATATCATGAAGCGGATCAATTCAATGTAGTCAAGAGTGAACCTCGTCTGTTTCATTTGATGGCAAAATTAAACCACAGCGTTGAAAAATGCCGCATAAGCAACCCGGGTTAGCATTCTGCTCTCGCTGCCTTGCGTGGTTTTCATACGGGATACCAGGGATGTTTCCCATGAAGAAAGAAACCATCGAAAACCAAATAAAGAGGGCGCGGTGCGGATATTTTGCAGCAGATGATGATGATGATGCCTAGCCAGGATTCCTTCGAAGATGAAACAAAGGCCAAAATCCTAGCTCGGATGCGCATAGGCGAGCAGAGTGGAGGGAATTCAAACGCAGCTTACCTCATGTTTGTATGACGTTATCCCTTGAGCTATTTCATTGGAGCTGCCATTGAGAAGGGCAGATTGGAGGGTGGTCTTAAAAATGGCCAGGCTTGACATGACAGTCAAAGGTGGGCAAATTTGCAACTTGTGATTTAACGAGCGGAAGAAAATATGGGAACGAAAGAAGGATCAGTAGATAGCTGGGGACGAATGTGGAGCTGCTTGTGGGATAATAATGGATAATTCGTGGAATACTGATACAAATTCCTCACAGGATCTTTTAGAAAAGAGACTTCTTAGTGGGGAGTTCTATTTTCCAATTATATTGACGAGCGGCCCTGTTTCTTGAGGCGAACTTGGCACAGAACCTGCATGTTTTTATGTCCCTCTCGTTCTTCTGGTGATAAAAGTGCCAGAGAGACTTGAGAAATATGTTATCCTAGATTAGAAATTGATAACAGGAAACATGTTTAGATCCCCCCAGGATTGGGGCTTGTTTAGAGGCAGTATGCCTAACTCTTAGCAGACAAACTAAGCATGAGCGCCCTAACTTCCGCTGAGAGGAAATGCTATGTCTCCGGTACCTTCAGCACCTTGAGCGTGGCCTTCTATGTTTAACTAACTATGAAACAGTCCGAACATCAGGAATGCCCCAAACATGCTATTTTAGTCTTGCTCAATGCTCCCTGGCCAACTTAACCAGTTGCTGGAAGTCCTATACCTTTTGTAATTATCTACCAGCACAGATTGCAATACTATTCCAGGAACCCCTTACCAAGCAAGCGAATCTTTGAACATTTGGCAAGCGATATTTGATGCAACAGGTTGTTCCATATTTTCCAGCTCTTTGCATACTATTTCCGTATTTAGAGAAATGTGGTATTGTTAGAAGATATATTTGGCTCCATAACTAGTGGATCGAAAGCGAATGTTACTAGTATGGAATGCGAACTTACATTCATTTGCGAGTTTGTATCTGTCACTGGTGCGTGACCTTGTCACTGTCGGCAAGATTTCTTCGCCTGCAGCCCGCTCAAGCTTGAGGTGAGATTTCAAATGCGAAAGAATGATCTCTTGTGCGGATTGGTCATGGGTACCATCTAGTTTGTGGAAGCTATTAGTAGTCCGTGTTTTGGTGAGTTTTAGGTCTCTTGAGTACGCACTGTCTATGTCCTCTTTCACGCTGAGTAGGGAGGGATATCATTCGGGAATAATTAGCCTCTGGGCGGATAAGAAAATATACCGATGAATCTGCGCGATGCCATACCTTCCGGGGCTGCCCAGTGCCTCATACGCCGTTTCGAATTCCCGTATTCTAGATTCAAGGATGGATTTTATGTGATTTGATATTTCTTGACTCTCAACCTGTTTCCTTGCCAAATCGCCGTACACATCACAGCGGATATTTGAGCGGCTTGCGCCTATAGGAGTTATGGAGACGGAATACCAGATGCTTCCTTCTTCAGAAACATGGGTCAGGGTTGTACAGAAAGCATCCAAACTGAATGATCTGGGTTTATCCGTTCTTGTGACGCCGAAGATCGATTGAAGAATCGAACTCGAGCTACTCGAGCTACTCGATTCTCGCTTCACTCGTGCTGCGGTGTTTTTGTCGACATATAGATTCCGAACTGAGTTAAATATTAGCGATCCTTTTTGTTTGACGGACAAAGCGGACAAAACCCTCTCTCTCTTCGTCCCACCCACGCCTTGGTCAGTCATCAAACTCACCGGCCATCTTCCAATTAAATTTGCCTTCAATCTCCCAGCCATCAATCCACACTGATTTCCTTGATATCTGATTCGTGAATCCACCAATTCCATGCCCACCAAGTCCAAGTTCGGGCAGATCACCTCTTGCATCCAAATTCACAAAAATCAACCCATTTTTCGTTACCGCTGAACGAATCTCGAAGAGGCTATTCTGGTTTTTATCAAAGCCTTCCAGACACTCAAACTGCGGCGCTTTGATGAGTCGTCCGCTGGTATTATAGCTCCAGCCATGGTATCTGCACCCGATCACAGTCGAGGAGCCCGACTTCTTCATTGAGATGACTGGATAGGCTCTGTGTCGGCAAACATTGTGAAATGCCCGGATAATGCCATCCTTCCCTTGGATGAGAAAAAGGGGGAATCTACAGATTTCAAACGCATGGTAGTCACCCGGTTTGGTGAAGCGGCTTATGTGCGCGATATAGAGCCATGTCTAATTTTGTAGGCTTGTTATTTTCTGTGTGACCTTTAATTTTTTAACCATGTGGTGAGGGCTTCGGATGGATATTGCATTCCTGTCATAACTAGATTTTGTGAAAAGAGACACCTCCGTCTGAGTTTACAGGAAATGCATGCCCCTACCTTACTAAAGATCGCCCGCCTCTCCAATCGAAACACTTCATCTCCAGTCCACCAGTTCTCGGGGAAGTCAGATTCCTTGAACACATTTGCTGTCGATGATTGACCAGCTTCCGCGGTAGGCCTTTTACTCTCCGATATATGAGCTTCTGGCGAAGCAGCCCTTCTCAACAACAAATCATCAATGCAAGCTACGTTAAGCTGGGAATTCGAACCGAAGGTGCGGAAGGGAAGAGCAGATCTCCTGAATGTATTGCCATCTTTCAGCGTCATCGCGAGTATAGCGAGGAGGATAATGAGAATAGAGGTGGGGGCATAAGTATTGGCTAGAAATGAGGATAAATACTCCATCCTCCTTGGTTCGAAGTGTATTTTTAGCTGAAGTTATTTCTAGAGAGCAGCTCCAGTGTAGTAATATATCCTCCAAATCACTGATCAACTGGCCATAACTGCTCCAGCTCTCATAAGGTAGTTGCCTCTTTTTGTGCTTACCTTGCTCAATTCCTCGACAATTAAATATACGGACACCGTCAGTTGCAGCCACTTGCACAATCGCACATCTTCTTTTCCCGCTCATCGGTCGCGAAAGATATAACTTCCACATTTAACACCTTGGCCTGCAATCCGGCGTAGTTGTGTTTTCTCAGGCCAGATAGTCATTGTACTGCTGAAATATTTTTCCCAATCAGGTCATAACTTCCATCTGCTCAGTCACTGGTTGGAATGGATCTTAGACTGGGCTTAGTTGGCGCCTCGTCCAAGGCTTCCCACCCCGGCAGCCACGTAATTGGACTAACTATTACTTCTTCTCGAGGAGTATAGCCCTCGCTGTCAAAGAAGGGAACCCAGCACGTTACAGACGGAAATACCAGTTGGCACAAAGGAGGGTCCCAGGATGGGAAAGTGGCTGATATGGACGATTCTTGGAGGTTCAGGATCCCATTCTGCTGCGGTTGATATGTCAACATGTATGATGATGTGGACTAGGTGGATGAGGGTCAGGAGAGCACCATGTATGTATGTACTGTACAAGAATGATCTGTTTGGAGAACTACGCATAAGTGGCATGCAAAGCAGGATGCTACGTTTGTACCGGACAACTAGAAAAGATACTCACGATAGTATGAATCTGTGGAAACTACGATTTTAGGCATAAATTGTCCTGGAGGGTTCAGAAGGCATATATGTCGGCCTTTTATTAAATGTAGGTGTGATGCCAAAGGATACACATGGTGATGATCTGGTGACTAGTTACAGAGAACTGTAGCAACTTGTGCGGAGTGGTTGTTCCCGCCCTCCACCGCCTTTTCCGGATCTTCGCTCGCTTTCTCGAGCCTATGCTGCTCAGTGACCAGGTCAAAGACCCGACTTTGATAGTCTGAAAAATCCAAACAACAGTTATTTTCAATATTCCGCAGGAAACAATCTACCAGGAAAATAGGGCGAGATTCAGCTCACATGCCACTCCAGTCTCTTTGGCCGGATTCAAAATTCCCTCGTTATACACGCCATTCTGCAAGTTTCCCTGCGCCCTTTCACACAGCTCATAGTCTTCCATGGCCACCTGACGAACAAATTTGAAATATGCTTCGAACTTCTCGTCTGATTCGAGATGGTAGTAGTCGAATTCCATCCTAGTAACGTTAGGATCACCAGTTGGACAAACGCGGAACGAGGACATTCCTCCACCGTACACGTTTAGTGTGCAATTTGGAAAGAAGTAGAGGAATAACCCGTCATCTGGCTTCTTGGGGTCGGCGATATGTTGGGAAAAGTTCAAGTGGTTATAGACAGTGTAGAATGTCGGGGGGTAATAGATAGAAAATGAAGGGTGAGTATATTGACAATGTAGACATTCTTGATAACCATCCACCCTGTAGTCATCTGTTGTCAGCCAACAGTCAAGGAAATCGGCAAATGACGTGTGCAATGGACGATATCGTACATAGTTTTCCAGTTGAAGCTCCCTTCATACTTGATGGTGCGGTAGAGACGGGAGCCTAGTAAAGTCCACTTTTGCTAGAAGGGGCTCT